AATTGGCATTCGGCTCAGGGGTGGACAGCAAACATTCATTTTATTGAGTGCTTTAAAGACTTCATGGAACCACAGAATACCAGGATGGAAGGGACCTCAAAGGTCATCTAGTCCAACCTTTATTGCTGACACAAACTGGCCCAGCACCCTGCCCAGATGAAAAATGTCCAATGTTGGGGAATTCACTGATTCCCTGGGGAGATTATTCCACTAGTTTAATGTTTTCATTGTGGAAAATTTTCCCGTTTTATCCACCTGGAATCTCCCTACAAGTAACTTTTACCTATAATCCCTCGTTTTTTCTATGTGAGTCCTTATGAAAAGGGGGAACGGCCTTAAACTGAAAGAGGGGTGGGTGAGATTAGATATTAGGAGGAATTCTTGGCTGTGAGGGTGGGGAGGCCCTGGCACAGGTTGCCCAGAGAAGCTGTGGCTGCCCCATCCCTGGAAGTGTCCAAGGCCAGGTTGGACGGGGCTTGGAGCAACCTGGGCTGGTGGAAGGTGTCCCTGCCCATGGCAGGGGGTGGAATGAGATAATCTTTAAGGTCCCTTCCAACCCAAACCATTCTGTGATCTTTGCAGCCACCCTTTCAGCACAGGAACATGGTGATGAGGCCTCCCCTGAGCCTTCTACTCCGGAGTCTGAACAAACCCCATTGTGTCAGCCTTTCCACCACATGGCAGCTTCCCAGCCTTTTGATTTCCTTTGTGGTCCTTCTCTGGCCCATCTCCAGCCTGCCCACATCTATTCTGTATAGCAGGGACCAAATCTGAACACAATATTCCAGGTGTGTCCTGGCAAGCACCGAGCAGAGTGGGATAATGACTTTTTCTGTCTCTTCTGGTGATATGACCCAGCATCCTGTTGACTGCTTTTGCTGCAGCAGCACATTGGTCACTCATATTGAGCCTTTTCCCCACCAGACTTCAAATAAACCCAAGTCAAGCAACTATTGTAATAATCCATTTAGTACATACTAATTTATCTCTAAAATCAGAACTTAGATTGTACTCTGAAGTTATCCAGCTTGAGATATCTCTTATTAGTATATCTTAACAAACAAACTCAAGTCTTGTGTGTCTGTGCTGGCGGATGTCGCAACCATGACTTGGCATCTTCCTGCACAGCTTGAATAAATATTCCCAGCAGGATGGGTTAAGACTGGAGTAAAAATCCACATTTTTGTGTACCTGCTGAGAGCCCTTCTTGACTTGTATAGAAAGACCTTTAAATTATTTAAACTTTTTTGTAGTTTGTAATGAAAATCTTTGAACCATATCACAGGATGACAAACACCCACACACCATGTTCTCCTAAATTAGTTTCCTCATTCCCAGTGACAGAATTCCCTTCCAGTTAGTCAGAAATTCACAATAAGCAAAGAGAAATCTCACCTGGGAAGGCAATCATTTTCCCCTGGAAAACAATCACTACAAATCATGTTCCAAAAGAACATGGGGAACACTGTAGAAGCCTGCCTTGGAAAAGGATGGGCACAGTCTGCTCCTGCCAGCAGAAATATTGGGAGAGCAGGGAGTGACGGGGTCATCCCACAGAGTCAAAGCCTCAGATGCTCAGTCAAACCAAACTCTCAACCTTTGCCTTCTCCCTCTTTTTTCCTACTGTGCCTTTTCCTTGCATTGCATGGGGTGCTGTGCATAAAGGAACATCCTGCTGCTTTGTCTGAGACCCATCCAAAATTTGTGTTGAGGCCTGTGCTGAGTTAGACACGAGAACCATCTGCACCAAAGGGCAGGGTGACAGGGCCATTCTGGATGGATGATCCCTCAGACAGGGTCACCTCTGATGCCACCTGACTGACCTAAGAGGCACTACAGACAGTTTCCTGGACTTAGTCTTTGCTCTCATCACCCCAGGCTGAATCCACAAATACTGCAGGGGATCCAATTGTTTGTTTTTTGCAGGGATCAGAATATTATGTTTTCAAAACATACTCTCACCTTATAGAGGATCTCATTATGAGGCAAGTCAAGTTTTCTTAAATATCAAATACCAAAGAAGAGTCTGAAAGGTGATGCACTGAGTTTGGGGAAAGGAAAAGGATTTATTAGACCTGATACCTCCTTAGTTCTTCAACAGTCTCTTCCTAATCATTTCTTCCTGTTTATCTTTCACAGATCCTAACTTGGCCAAAGGATTTGGGATTACAAGATTTGACACACAAACCCAATCATTCCTGCACACAGCCCTTCCTGTTTCTGCTTTGAATATATTTGACTAGCAAATGAAAGAGTCTGAGTAGGCTCTGACTTTTGGAAATCTCCAGTCATAACTTTTGAGGCTCTTTTTTGAAGTGATCTGTTTGTGATCCATATTTGGTCCATATTTTTTCCCTTTGAAAAAACTGCAATCAAAAGGAAGGATGCCAGCTCTCCTCTGAATGTGCCATGATGCCCAGCTGAAGTACAAACTATCAAAACTGGAGACACAAACAAACCAAAACCCAAGGCAAAATAAAAAGCCTTTTATCTATGCTGCACTCGTAGGCTCTGCCATCATTTCAAATGCACAAATCTCCTTAGATATCTCATTATGCTCTGGAGTAGCAAATTTTTGTCTATCCCTATGCAGAAATCCAGTGTTATAATTATTCCAACATTCTAAGAACCTCCCCAAATTCCTGGATTGACAAAGTTGCTCTTTGATGCTAAATCTTGATTTATATTTTAGTGACTACTTTATTTAAAGTGAAGGAATGGGGGAATAGCTCAATTCTATTTGTTCATTTGGAAAGAAAAAGAATTTTTTCAGAAAACTAAAATTAAACTTCAAGAGCTTTGATATGTTTTTGGTTTTTGGGTTTTGTTTTTTTTTTTTTGGTGCCTCCTTATATTACAAAAATGGAAAGGAATTTTTACTTGATATATATCTAAACTCCTCCAAGTTCTGTAGTACATATGTTTGAATTAAATTAGAATTATTTTTGAAAGGCTAAGAAGTGCTACCATAGTTTAGCTCTGTTCAACCAAGCAGTGCCTGTGCTTTGAACTGACAGAAGCCTTTAAGTGCAAAAGCTTAGATAAGCTGATAAAGATGAAACCAGCCACATCTGCAGTTACTTAGATCCAATTCAATTCAACTCAGCCCTATCATACCACAAATCTCAGATATTCTTGCACTTTTTATAACAGCATTACTGTGGGGTAGTAAATAATAAGCTTGCACAGATAATGAGATCTCAGACAAATAGAGAAAAACCCAAAAGATTATGTCTTCATTCCTATTCCCCCAGAATATAAACTGTTACCACCACAATAAATTCATTACTGCAAATTCAAAATCCCAAGCAATTTTACTGAGCTATTAATTAGAAATTTCCCCTTTAACATGGAAAGAGCTTTCCATTTCCAACACAAAATTAACCAGAACAGCACATATTTTATACACTGAGACCATAGACACACACAGAACATCTGTACCATGTGGCTGTGTTCGGTTAAGATCGAGCACCACATGTACAGGAAACAGCAACAGTGGCATTACCCTGCATTCATCCCTCACACACCATGAACTCAGCAGAAATATGGAATGTGGGCTACTATAAATTATCATAGAATGATAGAATGATTTGAGTTGGAAGGGACCTTAAAGACCATCTTTTTCCACCCCCTGCCATGGGCAGGGACACCTTCCACCAGCCCAGGCTGCTCCAAGCCCCCTCCAACCTGGCCTTGGACACTTCCAGGGATGGGGCAGCCACAGCTTCTCTGGGCAACCTGTGCCAGGGCCTGCCCACCCTCACAGGGAATAATATTTCTTCCCAATATACAGTCCATCCACTCAATCCATTCTTCTATGTCATTAATGAAGATATTAATGTCATCCCCTGGGGGACAACACTTGTCACTGGTAAGAGTTTACTTTGTAGTTTACTTTCCACTAAACAAAACAGCTGCTGGGTCCTGCTCCCCCACCCCTGACTCTGAAGGTCAGTGATATTAAACACACTGGCCAGACACCTTCTTTTCAGGGAGCTGAAAAGCTCTCTGTGCACAATACCAGACAAATAAGTGGAATAGCAATTGCCATGTCTGTGCTGCCTGAGGATTCCCAAATACCAAGGTAATCGGGACAGGAATGAGTCCACCCCACCACACAGGCCCACATTGGCCAAATGAGTTGAGTCAAAGTGTTTCAGCAATCTGGCTGGCATCACACAGTCCAGCTCCATTTCACCCTCCTTGGACACAAATGAACAATATAAACTCCAGATGTTTGCCCTTCCCAAAGTCAATGCAACTCCACGGTGCCAGCAAGTTTTGTGATGGCTTTTAATTAAAACAAATAAACAATGAGATTAAAATGTAAGTTATAAAAAAAACCACCCAGTCAGGTAATTCCATGTTGATTATGCCTTTTTTCTATGTGGCCACCAAAAAGCACACAGGTAATTTACTATTTCAAACTGATTTTGCGAATAGATTAGCTGTTAACGTGAAATTGTTAAGAAAACCATTTCAAGGGAGAACCATTCTGGGATACAGTCATGGGAAGAGGTCACATATGCAAAACTAAGCTTTGCCCAATTGATTTCTAATTATAAAACCAGAGGCTCTAGAGTTTGTGGTTAATAGTCCTTCTCTTTAGCCTGAAAAAACAAACTTACAGCTTGTGCTCACAACAAATACTCATAAAAAGCTCCTCATTGTGTTAGTAAGCAAGTGTGTGTCCTGGCACTGAGCAGCACTGAGTGAATCACACAATGCCTCACTGAAGGCCATCCATGGAATTAAGTCTACAATGCCTCACTGATGACCAGCTGTGATACAGCAAATTGTTCCTTACAATAAAGCTACAATAATGTCTGTTTGGGGGGTAGAGGAGGGGGAGAAGCACCACAGGCAGATTCTACAAGGGCTGAATAAATTTAAATGCCCATGTTGTATAATTAGATGATGTTATGTTTTCCTTTGTAAAAAGATATTGGGCAAGAATTTCATGTCTTTTTAATCCATTCATTCTTCAGCACCAAGTGCAGACTGGCAGGACATCTGAGTCTCTTGTCTCATTTAATCTTTGTATGACATTGGACAATTCTCAGGATGAAAGAAAGCCGAGTAGTACAGTTGTACTTATTAAGTGTGCTCAACATAAGGATGCTTTTCTGAGTACATTCTGCACCTTCATCATCGGCTAAAGTGGCACGAAGGTGAGTGTACTTTGTCTACAACAGAAATAAATCAGGAAAATCTTTAGTTAATATATTGTGTGCAAGAGCTTCACAGGTCTGCCTGCCTGGTTTATATTACAGCTGTACTCAATGTACATGCATTACATTGTAGAAAGTAATGATTTTTTTTTTTCTGAGTTCATAATTTTATAATGATAAAACGCTAAAACACTCATAAACAGAGCAAGTCTTTTTCTTTGGGAATCTAAATTCTGTGTTGCGCTGTGTGATTACTCAAATAATAAATTACTACTCCTCACGACAAGAAGAGAAGAATTGTGATCTCTATAACTTGTCATCTCCATCACTGATGTTTACAAATGAATGCATTTAATGATTTGGCTGCTAGAAACTTCACCCTGTAATATTTGCTAAAACTTAGTCATCTTCATTATTTTTTTTCTCTGGAAGTGAAAAAAAAATACTTTTAAAAAGAAAAATATTTTCTCAATAAATTATTACTTTCAGTTCTGGGCTTGGGTTTCTGCTGCATTATTCCACTTGCACATCTAGAAAGTCAGCAGAGCGATGGCATTTTTTGAAGAAACAGGTTTTTCCTTGCTCTGCTCCAGTCCCCTTATCACCCATTCAAAGTTACACAAAGTAATCTGGAAAACAGTGCCACAAATCCAGTTGCATATATCTGAATAACAGGTTTTTAATCACATAGTGGTGGTAGACCAGCTTGCAAGCCAGCAGTCAAATTTTGTGGTGGCATCACCCACAGATGTTTCACAGAAAATGAGACACAGGGAGTTGTCAACCCACTGTGAATCAATTTATTCATTCTCACCAACTCTCCAGTTGATTTCATCCTTCAAGGTGGAAATTAGAAATACAGATGTATTCTCTGAAAAGCTTTTCCAGCTCCAGGTTTTTTTTAAAAGCAAGTTTAGAGTCTGCTGGCTCCCATCCAGTGTAGCATCAGTTTAACACTGGAGGAATTCTTCTGCAGGGAGCCACATGCCCAGTTTTGAAGCAAGCTTTATAAGCATGTATTTATATCAGTTATTATGCCTCTGCAGTCCTAAAGCCCTAAGACTTCATAGCCACAGTCAAGACCTGGCAAAATGCTGTTGGATTTTCAGCCACTTCCACCACAAGTGGAAAGTGTAAAGCTCCAAGAGCGTGCCACTGTCTTACACTACATGTTTGACATTGTTAGTACTGGGGACCAGAACTTGGAGGACAGCAACAACCCAAGACTGCTGCACAAATGAGAAGGAGTTTTAGTGCTTTTTAGCTATGTAGAACAGTGAGATATCTTGTGCTAATTCAAAATACATTCCATCTGCAGTGACCTATAATGGAAGGGAAAATGAAACTGGAAGTTGAGTTGATAAACTGTGCAATACTCGTTACAGGTCTGTGACGTGATGACATGAACAGCAACAAAGGCTAACTGTGGCGTGCTGCATCTGTGGCCCACACTCTATGCCCTGCAGAGAGAAACTCTATCCTTGTCATTTGTATTTGCTGTCAGAACTTTCATGAGTCAACAGAGAAATAAAACACAACCCCAGGATCAGAGAATGGGTCAGGCTGGAAGGGCCTACAGTGGCTCACCTGCTCCCACCTCCCTGCTCCAGCAGGACCATCCCAGAGCACATGGCACAGGATTGTGGCCAAACAGTTCTGGAATATCCCCAGTGAGGGAGACTCCACACCCTCTCTGGTCTCTCTTCAGAGCTGGGTCACTGCCCAGCCAAGAAGTTCTTCCTCCTGTCCAGCTGGAACTTGCTGGGCATCAGTTCCTGCCTGTTCCTCTTGTGCCATTGCTGGGTCCCCCAGCAGAGCCTGGTCCATCCTCTGCCCCCTCCCTGCAGCCCCTGACACACCCTGGGGAGGGCCCCTCTCAGGGTGTGCTCTGCAGGCTGAACAGCCCCAGCTCCCTCAGCCTTTGCTGCTCCCAGAGATGCTCCAGTCAAAAGAAACAATAAAAGTCTGTCAGGTTCTCTACTACCTCTATATTCAAAGACTTTTTTTTCCTAACATTGCAGGGTGATATTAATAATGGTACAAATCTGTTTGACTGATAGAAAGTAGATCGAATTTACCTGCCTAATTATGCCTCGCTTTGGTTTAACTGTGAGCACTATGAAGAACAGACAACTAACCCCAGTAGGCTGCTCTGCTCTTCTGTATTAGCAGCTGCAACATTGGTTTCTCTTGATAAAATATTTCAGAGGATCAAAGCAGAAGACTATGGAGGTAAGAAGCAACAATCAAAATATTTCATTCACAATATAGTTGTTACCCTTTTTTATTTAACTAAGACTGCTCGGAGCAAAATATTTCATTCTCGCTCAGAGACACTGAGAACATTTTTATTAATATATTCATTGTTCTTTTTTTTTTTAAAACCCCACAAAATTGAATCTAAAGTAATACTATTCTGGCTCCTGAGAAAGTATGATTTTATAGCAGTCACAATAGCAATGCTATCCCCTTATTTTCATATTCATTCTTTCTTTTAATATGCAGATACTCACAATCCATAACTATATAAATGTAAATACAACAGAATCCGTTTTAATCAGGACACTTAAAACAATGCACAGAAGTGAAGACAAAGAATTGCTTCACAGAGGTAAGAAGTCATAGAAATACACAGTTTACATGTTTATTATTGACAGTGTATTCTTGACTCATTCTTGCAAATACCCTCAGGAGAGTGACTTGACCAGGGTGAGCATGGGCCAAATCCAACAAAAGGAGGAAAAATAATGCATATATTTTTCATTTTGCTCATGGCACAAGAATGAGCACTCCACTCCCAGCAAGGCTCTTTCAAGAGTATGAAGAATATGTGCACCAAAGGCTTCGGGGTGCTCTATAAGTGACTGTTTCCTTCCCAGCTACAGAAAGGCTGGTAATGGACTCTTCTGTCTCTAGGGAAACTTTTAAAACCTAGCCAGAATTTCAATATTATTTTGCAGATAGAAGGAATTTGTTGCTATAAAACCTCACTGCAGATGCACGGATTTTATTTAAGCCTCATTTTTAGAACAAAGAAGTCAAGAAATCAGTTTTGAAGGGGTAAGCTTTTATCCAAATTAATAGGGCAGGACGTGCAGCTGTTTGACGTATGGCTAATGTGGTACTTTTCAGAGCTTTTAACACACTTTGCTGATTGTTTGCTCAAGGCATATGGTTTGAACGAGCTGGGCAGTGCACAGTGCAGCTGGCAGACTAGATATCAAAATCTGGCAATAAGCCTTCGAGTTATGTGTGGCTAGGTATCAAATCTGCCTGAATTTTATGTGATGGATTCTCCCATATCCATGTAAATCACAAAGCTACTTCAGACTGTACTACAGGAGGTGCCATTGCTCCCAATCCTGCAGCAATTAGATGTAGCTGACCCACGTTGTGCAGCAGGAATGGTCTTAAAAGGGTAAAATCTTTTTTTACAGGGCAAAATAATTCTAAAAAGCTTTCATTAAACAAACACGGAATTTTCAAAATAGGCAAGTATCATTTTCTCTAGTGCACAGATTGGGAAACTGTGACAGGTGCTGTTCCAAATACACATTCATTTCAATCAAGCAAAGAATGGGAAGTTTCTGGCAGCTTGTCCTGTTTTCACCATTACCTCCCATAACCCAAGTCAGTGGTTTCAGCCTCAGCTCTGGTATTCAGGAAGGTTTAGAAAACGCTCCAACAGTATCTGAATACAATTTTTGTATTAATTTAATAAATGAAGCATCATTTTTGGACTCTCAGCATAATAAACTCTCATTTGCACTGAGTAGATTCATAAATTCACACTGCTAAAAACTGTTTTCATCAGAAATGGGCCAGCCTCCCGGGGTGTCCATTCATATTCCAGTTCTGAACTGCAGGATTGTGTTTGCCAGTCACAAGTGTTCAGTTATTATTGCAGAGTTTCCTTTATTGCTGCTTGAAAAGCCAATATAGATACTAAAAGTGACTCTCTCATCTCAGAGTACATACAACTGCATATTTCTGAATACATATTCACAGTCTTTCAGTGAAGTGCATCACTTTTTTATGCCACATGAACTCAGTGTAATGAATTAAGATGAACACTAAGAGAAACAGAGAAGCAGCAAGTTCCCCGCTACAGACCTGCATGGCTGTGTAAAAGTCTTGGTAAGGAAAGTGTGTTGCAATGCACTGAACTCAGAAGTCTTTCCAAGAAAAATGGACTTCTTAAGCAAATAAATAAAACAGCACAAAGCAGCTATTCGTCTCAAATATCATTATCTTAATTTTAGAAAAAAACTATAATTTACAAAAATTCCAACAGAGGAAGTCTTGTAAATTTAGGAGGTTGACTAATATCTTAAATGACAATGAACAGCTGGACAATTTTTCAAAAATGTATTTTAGTAAAAATAAACATTTATTCATTTGAAATCTTCCTCTCTTCCCGCTCCCTAATTTGTCTAATGATCATATTGAACATGGAGTCAGCACAGATTTGCTACACTTGGACAAACTGGAAGTTAAGTGGCAAAGGATTTTTAAATTTTTTTATATCTCTCGAGCTTTAATTTCCTTATCAACATGAAGGAATACGGAGAAGGACAAAAACCAGTAAGAGGAACAAAGGTTGCACTCTCTTACAGCAGAAGAGCTGCACTAAGTTCTTGAACCTTTTGAAGATGAGCCTGTGAATAATGAATGGAACGTGCAAAGGACACCGTTTACAGGACAAAGTGAGCCAAACACAATAAAAATGTCAAATACTCTGAAGGGAAGTTTGTGGAAGTTCATTGCAGTAGGAGTGAGGCACAATGCAGCTGGAAAAGTCACAAGGTACCATTTCTACTTCAGCAAGTAATACAGTTTGCCTGTACAAGCTCCTGGAGAAGCTCTTCAGACAGATGTCATGGCACATGCTCTGACTCATGCAAGTGAACGTGCCACTCCTCTGACTACCCTGCTGTGGCCTTTAGAGTGCCTGTACTGTGTGTGGCTTTTCATTATTTTTAAATGGTATTTTAAAAACCGAATACATTTTCCAGCCCTAAGACTTGACACAATGTGCAAACACAAGTTCTTTTATCTGCAAGGCTTGATTTGCAGACAAGCTCAAAGTCTATGTCAGCTTCACAAGAAACACTGTTAAAATAATGTTAAAACCAGCTATAAATAAAATAGACCGAGGTACAGTTCAAAGAATACTGAGAGGAAATAAGGAATGTGAGAGGTCATCCACCTACAAAGAAGAAGTGCCATCAGAGAATGACAAAATTTGATTTCCTAAGCAACTCCCAGGTCATTTAGTGCCCATTTAGGTCCATTTCAGACAGTTCTCTGATATGGACGTTGGCAGATGGGTTCTTAAAGTCACAGAGGCACTCAGCAATCTCCCAGCAGCTTCAGGCAACTCTATGTAAACTCCTCTCTAGCCCTGAATCAAGGAAATGCCTTTTTCCAGGTTTGTGGAAGCTGCCAGCCATCAGTTTGATGTATGTGAGCCCCCCATGTCACTTGGGTGCAAAAACAGACACACCTCCCTCCCAGAGGGCCTGGTGCACAGAACCACAGAGCCAACACCCAGAGAGCACAGGAAACACGCTGACAACTTCCTAATCCAATGTTTTACTCACATAATTGGGCAGGTGTTTGAAAATCCTCCCAGACCAGAATGCTGAACAGCAGCTTCCACCCTTCTTAACTCCTTCCCTCAAATTATACCATTCCCCTTCATCCCTGGTCATTATTTTTGCTCATGATGTTTAATTTCTCTTGTGCAAAGGGAAGAACTTTGAGAACAGACCCATCTCAGACTACCAGGACCCCTGGAATGATGGGGAAGGAGAAGGAATATCGGCCTGAGCTACGACCCTGCCACAGGAGGGGATCAATACTGACACTGTGTTACAGGCACTTTCAGGCTGAAATTCCAAGCAGAGAGGGGTGATCTGAGCTTGTTGCATCACCAAATAGACCCAACAGATTATCAAAACTACTAGCCAAATTACCTCATCTCCACTGTTGTACTAACTCAGGTTAAAAACGGAACTTTTGTATTGAGAGCTTTTGGTTTTTTCGGGTTTGGTGTTGTTTTTTTTAATCATACTTGCACCAGATTTAAAAAGCCAATTACTGAATATCCCATTTTGCACAATGTTTTCACGGTAAATTAAGACAATGATTAACAAAAAAACCTCACTAAGCATATTATCTTAGAACTCAATTGTTATGATTGGAAGAACTCAGTGGATATTTTCATGGTAATACAAAATATAAAAATCTTGGCCCAAGAACATAAAGGAAATGAATTCCAACCCCAATTATCAGACTTTACATATGATAGCCATGGAATAACCTAGCTAACTGAAAATGGAATTTAAAATAATCCAAAACCTGGTCTTGGAGAATGAGCATATTCACACCACAAGGTTCTTAATTACCAGCATAAGCCTACTGCTGTATTTAAATATGCAACCAAAGTCAAGCCAAACTTCTAAACTAGAATAAAAAACAAATAAATCTTCACTGAGACATCTAGTGTCTCCCCTAAGTCAAGCACAGTGAAAATGGCAGCTGGGTCACACACCACCAGGATCCTGGTAGATTATTTACAGCTGGGCAGTCATATATGCTTTCAGTATCATCTTTCCCTGGGTTCTGTACTCACCAGAGCCCTTGATACCGAAATGGGTGAAAACAGAAATGGGAATGTTCAATTCCACAACAAAAAGAAGAGACTGAAAGGTTTCACTGGGGGTCTACCATAGCTTGAAAGTGTCTGCTCAGCCTGAAACCAGTCCTTAGCCTTGTATCTGTGGTCCCACGTGGCCTCCTTGTCTCCCACTTCAGCAGGATTTATGTCGGAAGGTCTGCAATAAATTAACTGTTCTACTGGGTATTGTAAGTGAGATGATTCTAAAGACATGCTGATTTCTTTCTTTATTTCCCCCCCTCACATTTATTTTGCTCTGCCTAGTAGGATAAAGCCTGAACCAAGATGTGGTTTGGAATCCTAAGTGGGCAAAAATAGAACTATTTAGAAAGGCTGTAAACTCCTCCTATAACCCAGTGTTTAAATAATGTATTAGACATATCTATATATACACAAAGACATATACACATGCACTTAGACTAATATATATATATATATTCCCCTGCAGTTCTGTATTAATCAAATGGAATATTCTGTAGTAGAAGTACAATAGTAATAACTCAAAATAGCACTTCTGTTCAAGTTGCCTTGTACAAGCTTATTTGAGTTCTAATTGTGTGCTGAAATTCTCCCCTTTAATACCTAGGTCTATTTGAAGGTTAGCTTTTGGTCCCAAGGAGATAAAGGAAAATGTGCCAACAATTTGAGAGATTTGATTACCTGTATAAAATTATGCTTGCTCATTTTTCCTAGGCATGATACTCTCGGGGAAAGTTATATTAAAGAGGGAATAGAAATAGTGTACATCCAAAGAAAATATTTTCCAATTATGTTTCACAAGATGCAGAAAATATTACTTGTTATAGAGGATTATGAATGAGATAATTACCGAGAGTCTAATGTACCTAAAGCTACAATAAAGGAGAGAGAAACTCATTAATAAGTGGTTATTGACTGTTCTTCCTGCTCTTTGTAATAAAAGGCCAGAACAGTATCAAGGACAAACCTTTCCACAGTTTTGCTCTGACAGGTTACATACAAGAATACCTTTCCTACTTACTGAGCCCACCATTAATTCCTAAAAGTGAAACCATATCAGCTGTTATTTAGCACCCAAAACACTTTATGCCTCTCAAAACAGCCTTAACAAGAAATGTTTCATATTAAGAGCCGATTGAAAATAATAGAGATTTAGAAACACAGAGGATAAATGTTCCCTCTTTCAAATGATTTCATTCCACGCATTCCTAATGAGCAATCTGCACTTCCAAAGGAATCCAGACCAGTGGTAAGGTGCAGAATGACAAAAGACTTTTAGAAATTAAAGTATGTCTCATTATCACTTTTTGATTCTCCAGTGAAATAAATGATAACTCAATTACCTCTGAGAAGCCCCAGCAAAGAACATTTGAGCTTCCACGTACAGTATTTCAATACAGGTGTGATTACAAAAAAAAGGATTTCTGAGTGGCTGCAGCTCTTGTCCTACTGCAAAGCAGGACTTGGTGCCATGTGGAAAATCACCTTCAGTGCATTCCCTTTTTTTTTTTTCCCCCTCCCTCCCTTTTGGCTCAAAATCCTGCTGCATCAAGGAGGAAGGTACAGTCACTACAGAAAAGTTAAACTGTATTTCCATAGGAGTGAGAAAGGCCATGAACATTACAAGGAACAATCTAAAGGACTTCCAGTGCCTGAAGGGAGCCTGCAGGAAATGTGGAGAGGGACTATTGACAAGGAATTGGAGGGACAGGACAAAGTGGAATGGCTTCCCACTGACAGAGGGTAGGGTTAGGTAGGATATTGGGAAGAAATTGTTCCCTGTGAGGGCGGGCAGGCCCTGGCACAGGTTGCCCAGAGAAGCTGTGGCTGCCCCATCCCTGGAAGTGTCCAAGGCCAGGTTGGACGGGGCTTGGAGCAACCTGGAAGTGGAAAGTGTCCTGCCCATGGCAGGGGGTGGGACTAGATGAATTTTACGGTCCCTTCCAACCCAAACAATTCCATGCAATTGCATCTTGGGCTGATTCCCCAGCGTGGGCAGCAGGGCAGGGGGGATTCTGCCCCTCTGCTCCTCAGGTGAGACCCTCCTGAAGAGCTGCCCCAGCCCTGGGAACAGCACAGCAAGGACATGGAGCTGCTGCAGAGAGTCCAGAGGAGGCACCAAGAGGATCAGAGGGATGGAGCAGCTCTGCTGGGAGGAAAGGCTGGGAGAGTTCAGATTGTTCAGCCTGGAGAAGAGAAGCTTTGGGGTGACCTGATTGCTGCCATTTTACACGCAGAGGAAGCTGCCCAAGTGCTGTGGTCTCCTTCTGCTCCTACACTTAGTTCATTCCACAAAGAGCAGCAGTTCACCCAAAGATACACGTGCCCAACTGATTATTATTGTCCCTCACAACAGAAGTTCATTTAGTATTCTCACAGACACACGTACACACAACATGCACACCAGTTTTCATCTCAGTGTAGTCACTGCTTTTTGTTTCACCTCCCTGGCTCCACCAGACCCTGCATAAACTGTATTTAAGGCTTTACATTAAATGCATTAAGACAGACTTAATGCCTAGTGACTTTACTGACCAAATATGGAATTAATTTGACCTATTGGATGCAGTGCAATTCAAAGTTTTGGGAAGGGTGGACCCCTCAAAATTATTCTTATCAACTAAAAGCAGCCCTGCAAAGCAGGAAGCTTAACAAAGCAGAAATCCAGGCTCTGCAAGAGAACATATCACGAGGCATAATAAGGACAAGTGACTTATCAATTAAGTGGCTGAGAAAAGAATAAATTAAGCATTAACTCTTACTGGATTATTGGTTTCCCTGAGAATTCCCAAAGAAATGATCCTGAGAGACTTCTTTTGATAGTGTCTCCTGGGGGCAATGACAGACCTGAGTGCCTGAAGACTTTATCGTGGTTATTACAGCACGAAGGTCAACAAAAAGAGAGTCCTGAGGCCAGTGATTTTGTCCTACAGCAGCCCAGACCCTCCTGTGCTGTGGAGTTTCTCAGAGCTAAATACAAAGTGAGGCAGTATTTGTATTCTGCCAGGCTGACAACCTGCCTCCCGAGAGTGACATCAGAGCTTGCCTCTCACAAAGAGCCTGGCCATGGAAACCGAGCCTTGGGACAAAACAGAGCCACATTTGCCTGGTTTAGAGGCAGGAAAGCACCTCCTGCCTTTTCCAGTTGTTCTGCAATTTCCAGGATTGACAAATGAGCTCCTGATCCTGCACAGGTGCCATCAGCTGGAATAACTGACTCAGTCAATGCTCTGTTTTTTTCTCACTCTACAGGTATGAAGCCCACGCATTTCCCAGCCCAAAGCACTGCACTGAGCCCATGGCCCAGAGTGGGTGTCCAGCCTGACAGGGAAAGATTTTGCTTTCCTGTCCATCAGACTGTCCCATAGAGAATTGCCTGTTACAGTGTGTGTTCAGAATGCATTTGATTTAGAGAGAAACATGTACTCCCAAAGTTCCCCTAAAACCCCAAATATTTATTTATGCATTTACACTGCTCAGCATCCCTTTCCTTATCAGTAATTGCAGTAATGAGCAGGTGGCCTTCTGGAAGGACAGAATTTAGATCAATTACAAAATGATTACTTAATGGGATGATCAGTGCAGTTGCCTTTACACAGAATGAGAAGCCTAATATTGGTTAATTAGGAGTTATCCATTTTCTCTCTTTATTTCTCCATTATGTCAGTAAGCCCTACGTCCAACATATTGAAGTATACACATATTTGCTATTACATCACATTGAAGTTATTAATAAACTGCATCTCCCTTTTAGACAGCAATAGATTTGAGGCAGAAGTTGTCTCCTACTCAACAAGACAGATCAAAATTTCAGTCAAGGCTTCATAAATGGCAGCATTAACAGCTTACATGTTCTCTGTTACTTGGTGTACTGTTCCTCATTTACAAAACTGCCCTCCATGTGTTCTTTGAGGGTGTGTAAAATGCTTAAAAACTCTGCCCTAAAAAAGAGTTCACACTGACTTTCCCTTTAAAAAACCCCATGGCTTAAATCTCCATTCAAATCTCCTCACGCCAAGTAAAATCCTGGTATATGTTTTAAGTAATTTAAATTATTTCAATAACTTCTACTAATTCAAATGAAAACTCAGTAAAAAGTCCTTGTATATTTAGATCAGCACCTGCTCTCATTTCATGTGGGTTATAACAATCAAGACCCATTAATTAGCAGAAATAAATGAACAAATGGGAAATATTGTGTTGGCATTAAGTCTTGTTTCAGATTATTTTGAACAAAGAAACAAACACAGTTTGGTTTTGCCTGAGGACATTGTATTTTCTTGTCTGTAAGGCAGGACAACACCATGAATTGCAGTGTGTGCCAGTGGTCTACAATAAATGCTTCAGACTGCATAAAAATTAGAGAATAGGTTGCCTGAAAAACAGGCATTTAAAAAAAAAAAAAAAAAGAGTGAAAAAGGAATATCCAGAGTGTCAGTAATTGTATTTAGAAAACTTATTCTGTAAAAATATGGCAGATTTTCATTAAGCTCTTTGAGGTGAGTGCTATCAGACTGAGCCTTTTGCATACTGCTTTCATATAGAGGTTCACGTTGCATCAGTTCTGCTGCAGATTATCCCAAATTAATTCAAAAATAAGGTGGGTTTTGTCCATTCACTTTAATATCCTGACTTCTTAGGTTGGGTGTACAACATGTCATAGATCCTAATGATGCTTGTAGCACGATGACCTTAGAAAATAATGGGATGGCAGGGGTATGGCTGGGTTCAGTTCCTTTATCCTCTGTGCACTTCACGGCTCGATGCCCACCACCAGCCCTGCAGACACTAAAATCACCTTACCCCCACTGTACACAAGCAGCTCTCCCAGGCAGGGAAGAGAAAATGAGATAATAAGGTTTCTGGATTTAAAGCAGCAAATGACATGGGCACTCTGAAGTGCTAAGAAATCTCTTTTGCTGGCTGTGCCTACAGCTCTGCTCGTTGCCTCCAGTGATCCTCCCTGAGCCAGTCCTTTATTTCAGCACATTCCCCCTTGTTGAGGCGTGACCCAACAGCTCATCAGGTTGGAACACAAACCCTCAGCTTTGCTTCTATTCACCAGGGGCCGGGTGAGAAACAGTTACCGAGCTCAGACCCTGAAGCAAAAATAAGGGATGTCTTCTGTGGCTCCTAATGATTCCTCCGGTTAATTCAGGAATGGCATTGGGAGTCTCTGGGGAGAGCTACACTTACTTTTTCTTAGCTGCTGGCATGACTGCTGTAAAATAAAAGGCTTTGAAAGGAATTCTTGAAGGGGAATTTTTACACTAAGAGGGAGTCCTCGGGAAAAAGGAAAGTTATAAATTGCTCTGTATCACTACAGGTGTTCCTCGGGGATCACCAGGAGGCTATTCAAATACATTAATATTTGCCTAAATATCTCTGGGAAAATTACCTACATTTATTTTCAATTCTATGTGCCTCACACATTGCTTTCAAACCTTTAAACCTCCCTGAAATATTTATTGCAGCAAATTATTTCTGTAATGAAACGCCTTAAATTGCACAGCATTGACATCCTTGGCTTTGTCAAATAACACAAAAAAAAGACCACCAAAACCCAGACAAAAGATCCTCAACTGTGAAGTCCTTGATCTGCTACACCACTCATATTATGCCTTTCTTTATCTTTGACTTTACTAGAATAGGAAGAAACCCCAATTTTCAAAACAGAACTTCCAAGAAACAAAGTTTGTGTGAACTCGTTCCCGTTATTTTCACGTGCAAAGTCATTTTCCTCGTGATTCCTGTGAACGGGTGTTTATTACATCCTAAATATGCAGTGCTGCCCACCAGCCAAAGAAACCAGCCTTTCTCAGGTGTGACTCATGAGGTATCACCCACTTCACCTCCAGAGCTCTGACTGGAAGCCTACAGAC